GGAAAGAATAGCGATATGATTTATTGCCCAAATTGGGACACTCTTGAGAGTGATGAGGGGTATTCTAAATAGTTACAGTCAGACACCAGGCACTACTGAACAAATACTGACAGATGCCGGGTCACCTGTAAGAGTTCTTCCCTCGGCACCCCAGCACCTGGAGGACTCTCTCCTGGTTCTGTACTCTGATAGTCCTTGCTTCCCCATAATCAACCTCTGTGTGGGCCCTTGGCTTCTGGATCCCAAGTCTGTTCCCTACCTGCCTCCACGGGACTTAGTGCTTGTTACTGTTCCATTGTACATTTCCCCGTAGAGCTTCCTGTGAGTAGAGGTCATCCTATGAGTTTTCCAAGCCTGCCTGCTTTCCATGGCTCTACAGCCTGCCACTGAAAGCCATGTCCACTCCTGCCCCAATGCAGGCCCTAGGAACCATGGCCCAAGGAGAGCCCTGGGGCTGCTGTTTCCTTGAATGGAGAGGCTGGACAGTATGTGGGTGCGGGGCATGACCTTCCTTAAGGCCCCTGCTTGTCTACAAGAGCTGCTTTAGTCACAGGGGTCAGCAATGCAAGGCTTCTGCCCACTGGCGAACTCGCCTCAGCTCACAGCAGAATGAGACCTCAAGAGCATTAGCACGAGCATAATGAGAATCTGAGGAGACAAAAATATATCTTCAGAGGGGCCTTTGGGGAGAGGAGCAATGGAAATTCACTGCTGAATTTAAAGGAAGGTAGGATGCAACTACTTAATAAAAAGAGCTTCTTGCTGATAACTAGGGCAAGGCATGCTCGAACATGTCTTTTTGTTAGGAAAAAATGATGTCAGTTAGGTATGACAGTCCCTAATTTAGATGTGTCCCTTACATACTAATTTCCATCCCTTTTGAAGCCACAGACATTCTGAACTTGTCTTTACTAACTGAACAACAGGTTTCTTTCCTTGTCTACCTTCCTGCTATGGACAAGGAAAGAAAACTGCTGGGGAATCCACTTCATTTCTCCTCCAGGGCTGGTCCAGCATGACACGCCAGGAAGGAAAGGAGAGGAGAGGGAAAGGCAGGGTGGAAGAAAGATAGAGCCCTAGCCAGTCAACCCTGTCAGTCTTTCCAACTAGCAAAAGAGGCCAGAAGGAGCAGGAGGGAGGAGAGAATGATGAAACAGAGGGCTGACCTTGTGGCCTAGTGGTTAAGGGACTTGAATCCTACATGGTGGACCATGTGGTTTGAATCGCAGCACTGGTGCCGTGAGAAACATGCTGAGTGTGTGGACATGACTGCCCTAAATCATGACAGGATGAAGAAATGGAGGCAAGAGGGACTGCAACATGGCTATGCTCCACTGAGGAGAGGGGATGCTTCCTCTCCCTCAGTCTGGATTAGACATAGTCCTTGCAAGTCTAAGATCACTTTACCTGTCTCTCCACCTCTGGTCACCTCTCCTGTTTGTTCCATTGTGCTACCTATGTATATTCTCCCAGCTACAGTTTTGGGAAAAAAAAGAGTGGGAGCGTGTGTTCATGTCTGTGTGTCTGAGTGATGAAGAGGGGCGTATGTGTTGAGTGGAGGGAAGACAAATTCTGACTTGCCAGTTCCCCCACTCTACTATTCCTGCCTTGTTACCTCTTTT